TAATTAATATTATTATTAATATTATTAATAATGATTTAGTTATATTAGTAAATAAACCAAGAAAACACATAAACAACATTTTCATTATTTTCTTATACTGTTTGCATTAATAATATCAAAATACAATCATGGGAAAAAGCAATTTTTTTGCAAACACACATTTCGAAAATTCTTCATTGCTAATGCTGACTCAAATATATATACTTTATTAAAACCTTATCTTTGATAAAGGAGATATTACACAGACTTCACGCTATTTAAGCAAACTGCTTCATCTTTTGAAAATGAAAAATATTTTACCGATAGACTTTTTGTTTTCCGATAATAATTTTTACAACCTTTTACTGCACATTCATTTTAATCTGTGATCACAAAATATTATCACTTTATAAGCCGACGTGCTTCGCAGGCATGATTAATTGCGATCATGGACCAAATTTGTAAGCATACTCTGTGACTTTTTCTTAGGTAAAGGAATTTTTATACAAGAAAACGTAAAATCTCGACAGTCAGATAAATTTTCACAATTATCAGAGTTTTCCACTAAACAAATTGGGCGCCACAACTGTTTGCTTTGTCGCTCACAATGCTTTAACGTCGCTTTTCACAACGCTTTTCATCCTTGTTGTTTATTAAATAATAAAGGACAAATAATGCAAGTGCTGTAAGTATCAAAGCAAACACAGCCCATATTGAATATATGAATTTGAACTGCTCCGGAATTAATCGAAGGCTGATCCCAGCAAACGAAAATGGATTGAAATGAATTGAAATGGATTCAGATTTTCAGAAATATTGATTCACGAATATTAAAATGAATGCTTTTCAATCCTGAATACATTTTTGTTCATTTATAAAAATTGCATGGAGTATATCTCTACGCCTTTCAATCTAAAAATAATATTAGCCTTTTCTGTGCACGACACATACATTGTAAATATTGTTCAATTTAAAATTTTGAAATACAGTTTTTAGGAAATACAGTTTTTCAATCCAATTGTATCCAATTAAATCTAATTGAATCCAATTAAATAAAAAAAGTATTCGCTATTTAAAAAAAATACGCATTCGGATAGAAAAAAATTTCAATCCATTTTTATTTGCTGGGGTAACTTGTTGACGTGTTTACCACCTTTATTTTCTATATTTGCAATGGATCACCACCGGACGAGCATATATCCTTAGTATGTCTGAAAGCATTATATGATTTCACTTTAAAAAAATTACAAAAACATCATTAAGCTATTTAATTCATCATTAAGTTAAAATAATATTTATTTGATGTTACTAATGGCTTCTTTGGTCTGTGATTTCAGACCGTCAAAAACATGTCATTTTTAAGTTAATTTTGAAAATAAATATAAAATTCGACGTGATTATTACGTTATAATGACGGATATCTGCTACCTGGTAAATATTCTAGCCTAGGTAGCAAAGTTCGTCATTTTTATGTCATTTTGACGTCAAATTGAAGTCATGTTTGTACAAATGACCAAAAAATAACAAAAAAATAAATAATAAGTTTTTGGTCATTTGTACAAACATGACTTGAATTTAATGCCATCATGTCAAATCAAAATGACGAATTTTGCTATTTGGATTTGGGCTGTTACTAATTACCATTACCATTTTAAAGACGTCATATCTTGAGTCTTTATATTACTCCAGACAGCAAAGTGATTTTTACGTCGATACATGGTGATTACTAGTCTTAGACGTTACATACTCAATAATTGACATTTAAAAGACTTGAGTATTTTAACATAATAATAATGTTAATTTAGAGACGTCTTTGATTCGTTTTTAATAGGTCGTATTTAGTCAATTATTTGAAATATTAATGTGATATTATTATGACGTTATTTTACATCATCTTATTATTATTACGTTATTTTATCCGCAACGTTATATTGATATGTCATTTGACACATATTATTCTTTTAAGATGTAAGTTTCGAGATATATTTATATTTTAAAAGGCTCTTATATTTTTCCCATATCGAAAAAGTATTACAACCGTTCTTCTTACATCTCCTTCTATATCTCCTTTTTCACATATGATCTTACAAAGATATTATTGTAAAATGTATAAATTTTTACTAAAATAATAGTGGATAAAGAGTGGATATCTTTTCATTTATTATTATCAGTCTGAAAGTATTATGTTCTTTATTATGTTTCATTGTATTGTAATATGATCTTAAATAGCATACGTACGCTTATATTCGCGTATCGAAAGTTCCAACCAATATCGCTGATATTTTGTTTTAACGTCTTCGATTTAAACATCAGTGATTGATCGGATTTTTAATTTTATGCGAATACATGCATACAGCGAAATGTGAGACCTTGACACATCGTTTTTACATCCTCAGGTTTGCTGATTCTTGCCCGATGTTGAACCACCATTCGCGATATCATAGCAAATTGACTGTCAAAATAATCGAAGACGACGCGATGTCGATCCAGTACGTTCGATTTTTATGACTATTAGCCAATGTCGAGATACTGCCAACGTTAGCAATGTGTCAAAAACTGGTTGTCTAAATTGGCACGAGTTGGCCCAGTCTATGTCAGGCAATTTTTATCCAAAGACAACTTTAGGCCACCTTCGGACCAACGTCGGCAACTTGTTGTCATGCTAATCATGAAGCGACATTAGGTCAAGCCATGTCAATCGACACTTATTTAATGACGATTCTCGGACCATTTTAGTCCATTCTGCTCATATGCAAAAAATTGATCGTTATTTATTAAAGCTTGTATAATACAAAGTGAAACGTTTAAAGACATAAGAGTAGAAAATGAAAAGTTCTTGTAACCTCATAGGGGAACATAAATAAAAAATATCTACTGACTAAATAAAGAATATTCACTGACAAAAGATGTATTAAATATACATTAATACCGAGAAGTAATAGCTTACCCAATTTACGCCACAGATTGTTCCAGTCATATTGCAGTATCATTATAATGTTTCATCAATGTTACAATAACATTGCAAATATTGTAGCAATATTGTTTTAAACTTCATGTTGAATGAGAAGCTTCAAACAATTAAGAAGGGAAAGCAAAATCGCAAATGTTTATTTCGATAGAAAATAACGTTTCTCTATTGCATGGCATCTTGATTAGACGTTATTTCATAGATGCTTTTAAGGATGTCTTGATTACAGTCCCAGACAAAAGTTATTCAAATTTGAAATTGATGAAATTCTGTAGGTAGGTCACCTATTAAGATATAGGCTTCTAATATGATATAGGGATTTCTACTAAACTGATAAGCGCATGTGTTTGGTTCTATCATGAACTTTTTACTCTTACAATTAGTGTAAAATCTGTTTAGTAGAATATTTATTAGATCATACATGTAGTCGTTACAAAAAAATATTTGTAAAATTGGATGTTGTCAAATTTTATTTTAATGAAGTTATCCCTGCCGGAAATTTTCA